CTGTGGTATGAGCCCCGAAGACAGACATCTGAACATCTCCAACCGTGCCGAAGCACCATTCCTGGAACATTAACGCCGCGAATCAACGCTAACAACTGTTGCGACCTGACGAGCCTAAATCGTGCCAGGACACCATTTCTGGGACGTCAGTGCCGCGAATGAATGTGGTTGTCGCTCGCTGACAGTCCGAACTCAGGCCAAAACGCCACTTCTGGGACGTCAGCCATAAGAATCCTTGAAACGTGTGTAAACTGTGAGGACGGGCGTGCGCGGCGCTAAGGCGAGAGCCACATTTTGAAAAGAAACCGCCTTGCACACTTTTAAACATCAGTGTGCGCGGTGCTGAGGCGAGATCCGCACTTCGAAAAGACACCGCCCTCCACCCGTGAAGCTCTTGCAAGCTTACAAAAACGAATCTGCGCGGCGCTGGGGCGAGAGCCACATTTTGAAAAGGAGCCGCCCTCCATCCGCGAAGCTCCTGCACGCTCATAAGACGAATGTGCGCGGCGCTAAGGCGAGGGCCACATTTTGAGAAGGAACTCCCTCCATCCGTGAAGCTCTTGCAAACTTTTAAGACGAATTTGCCTTGCGCTATTGCGGGAGCCACGCGTTGAGAATGAACCGCCCTCCATCCGTGAAGCTGTTGCAAACTCGAAGCTTCATTGTCAAAATTGGTGGGGAAGCCTCAGGCGAAACGCCTTGCCCGCTCTACCGACCCGTTTCGGGGTGCGACAGGGAGGAGTTATTTTTTATTGCAGAAGGATGAGTGGGAAAACATGTGTATGAAAATGCATCTATGTATTCGTTTGTTTATTTTCTGTTCTATTCATTTGTTAATTTATTCCATTCGGTTTATGAACTATTTGCCCTCCCCCTCCGTTCTCCTCCTCAGCTCACGTGGCCCTGTCCCCTCCCTCCCGAGCCAGGGCGCGCGCTTCGCGCTGTCCCGGGACAGGATCCGGCAGCGGCCGCGGGAGTTCTACGAGAAGCTGATAGGCCAGGGGGGGCTCTTGCTCGGAGGAGGACAAGGCACCCATACCGCTACCCCTCTGGGGAGTAGTGGTATCGGTACCTTTTATTTTCCCCAGGTGTTGTCTGCGCTGGACCGTCTGGAGGAGGTGGGGGCGAGGAAGGGTGATGAGGAGGAGGAGGAAGAGGAGGAGGGGGAGGAGGAGGAGGATTTGAGTAGGAGGAGGAGGAGGGAGGAAGGAAGCAGGGAGGGAGGAGGGAGGGAGGACGGGAGGGAGGGAGGGAGGGAGGGAGGAAGGAGTAGGAGTAGGAGTAGGAGTAGGAGTAGGAGTGGGAGTAGGTGTAGGAGGAGGAGGAGGAGGAGGAGGAGGAGGAGGAGGAGGAGGAGGAGAGGAGGGAGGAGGAGGAGAGAGAGGAGGGGGAGGAGGAGGGGGGGGAGGGGGGAGGGGGAGGAGGAGGAGGAGGGAGGAGGAGGAGGAGGAGGAGGAGGAGGAGGAGGAGGAGGAGGAGGAGGAGGAGGAGGAGGAGGAGGGGGAGGAGGAGGAGGAGGAGGAGGAGGAGGAGTAGGGAGGGAGGAAGGACGGAAGGACGGAATGAGGGAGGACGGGAGGAGGATAAGGAGGAGGACGTCACGGGACACGAGTTCGGTGGGCGTCCAGACACACTTGGGCAGTACCAGCTGCAGACTGCAGCACTACACCACAGGCTCGTGGATTTATCGTCCCTCGACGGGGGCAAACAAATTCCAGCCGTGAATCGCACTCATTTCAGCCGCGGATCTCACACGGCTCAGCCGCGAACCAGACAAATTTCAGCCGCGAATCGCACAAGTGATGGACGCAGTATTCTACTCACTGACACGTTGCGCATGCTATGTCGAAGTCGCAGCTTCCATAGCGGCACTTCCTCTGCGACGGCCTTGGTTCGGGAGAGGGGCTGGGGAGTGTGGGATTGGGGGAGGTGGGACTGGGGTAGGGTCCTTTGCTTTGTGCATTCTCGAGTACCCGCCTCTGGGCTATATCAATCTCCAGCTCTCGTTGCCCAGCCAGCTTTGTTCGCACTGCACTCTGTCGCACCACGCTGCTGTTTCTCGCCGCAGTTGCTTCTCCTAGAGCAGTCTTTCTGCATACGAGCTCTTCTTGCGGTCATACGAACGCTACGGTTCCAGCTGACCCAAGTTGGCCCAACGCGAAAGGAGGCCGTTGCCTCCTGGGCGCGCGGACCCTCCTCAGGAGGGACAACAAAAACACACAGACACACTGAATCGTCGACTCCCAGGAAAATACTGGAAACTGTGGGAAGTGGGGGGAAGACACAAACCCATAATATATAAAAATCTATTTGAGGAATCATGTTATTTGTGTGCATTTATTTGTGTGCCCTTGGGCCCCTTTACTTCCCGACGGGCCCTCGACACACTGGCAGGGGGTCTCGCAAGGGGGGGCGACGTGCCAGTAGGCCGCCACGCACGCCCGTGGCCGCGGCGCGGAGCCCGCGGTGCCCGAGAGCAGGCGCTCCGCGAGCTGCGCCGACGCCGGCGCCGTCCCGAGCCGCGAGAGCACGGGCAGTGCTTCGCGCTGTCTGAGACTTCGGGTGTTGCCAGAAGTACCTGTATGCCGGGCCTGTCCCATCTACAGGGGGAATATCCCAAAATAGTTACAACATCGTATGGGGATTGTGTTTTGAGTATTTCATGACCATTTTGGGGTATTATTCGATTCTTTTTGGAGGACAGGCCCGACTTAAAAGTACCTCTGGCCCAAGGTGCCCCCAGGATTCTCGGGGTGGCCCAGACAGCCTCCAGAGCACCCCTCACGAGGCCCAGAGGGCCCAAGGGGCCCCAAAATGGAGCGAAAAGCTGGGGGCAGCTTGGGCCAGGGGCACTTCTAGCAACACCCGAAGACTGACCAACGTCAGAGCCTCGAGTCATCGGAGCTGGGGGTGGTCAGGGGTAGCTACAGATTCGTGCCTCGGGGCATGCAGCTGTCCCAGATATGTCTGCGTCCAACAAGGAGACGCAGCGTGCTGCGAGGAGAGTGTGTTCATCAACGCGGGGTCCGTGGTCCGAGGACCGCGGCATGGCGCCGACTCGCCTAGGCGGCGTGGAAGGACAGAGAGGTCGCCGCGCTCTTGGTGAAGGGCCTGGCCGTGATTCTGGCCCCCGGCCCCCAGGGCAGCCAAACGTACCAGAGAGAAAACCAGAGCAAACGGAGCGAGGGGCCCCCGGAATAACGACACGGACGGGGCGAATGCTGGCGGCGCGGGACAGATACCCGCAGCAACGCGTACGCCTACGCCAGCGCCGCCTTCTACGTCGATGGCGCTACCAGCGCGGGGGCCACAGCAACCTCAACAGGCACGCCCTGGAGTTCGCCCCCGCCTGGGGCAACCGCAGCCCCGCGCGGCGCGGCCCGCCCGGATGTTGGTCAGTCAGCTACTGCTCCGCCGCCAGCGCCGAATACCATCTCCATCGGCTCTGACGCCCGCGGCGTCCTCGAGGTCAACAAGGATACGGAGGAGGAGGAGGAGGAAGAGGAGGAGGAGGAGGAGGAGGAGGAGGAGGAGGAGGAGGAGGAGGAGGAGGAGGAGGAGGAGGAAAGGAGGAGGAGGAGGAGGAGGAGGAGGAACGCACGAAAAAGAAGAGGAGGATGAGGAAGAACACGCCTGGATGCACGTGTTCCACGGGCAGTTGGCTTCATTCGACACCGAGCTGCCGGACCAGCCCGACCCAATACGAGGAGGGCGTAGGAGGTGACCAGAGGGCAGAGCGCCCAAGTCCGCGACGATGTCGTTGGCGAGATGGACGACGCTAAGGAGGATGATGAGGATGACAGCGACAACTCCTACAAATCTTACGGGAGATCATAACTGGGGTATTGACAGCCGCGTGCTCGCGGCGCGGCGTCGCAACCAGCGTTGGCTCATTTCGGACATCATTCTTCCACAACAGTGGCGATCCGTCACGCATGTACACAATGCCAGGACGCTTGGGGTCTCTGAGTGGCCGCCTGCTCCACCTAGTCCCTTTGCAAGAAATGGGCGTGACGACAGGGATGGACCTAAACGGTGCTTTTTGGCGATTTTGTGGGCCGGGCCGTTTTCGTTTCGATTTTGTTTTGCGGTACAGGCGGATTGAAGACAAAACGAGGGAAAACGACAACAAAACGAAGACGAACAACACCGTTTAGGTTCAGCCCTGCGTGACGACAACGTTCATCCCCCTCTGGTCTTAGCGCTGGCCCCCCTCGCAGGCGCGAAGGCCACAGCGCTCCTCCAGGCTTTCGCTCGCGCAGCCCACTTTGAGAGCAGAGGCCTGGCTGGCGGCCGAGGCCTGTGCGCTTGGGCCTCGTGTGCCGCTCTGCCGCGTCTGTTGCGCGGGGGCGGGGGGAGGGGGTGCACGTGTGTGAAGTCCGCTCACATCACCATTATGTCATTCCATACCGCTAACGTATTGGCTCAGGTATTGGTGTACACACCGCGCTGCTCTCCGCGCAGCGCCCTTGAAAAGGAGTAGCTAACCCCTTCCTCTATCACCTCTGCCAGCCCAGAATCGTATAGGTTGGACTCCTCGGTCATAATGGGTGCGGGTGAGGATCTGTTCAGCGCTGTTTGAATCGATCGCCGGCAACCAACGGTGTCCCCAGCAGGGATCCGTGTCTGTCGTCATGCCTGTCTCGCTGGTGCCACAGCGCCATGTGTCGAGCCCACGTGCCTAATACATACCGATTCACTCCATGACTTTGCGGCAAGGCGGCGCCACGGCAGCCGCCGGCTTGCGCAGGCAGTGGTGGCGGTGTTCGGAGGTTGGATCTTCGTCTTGGATCTTCGTCCGCTGATCTTTCCTTCCCTGCGCATAGATACGCAAACCTCACAGGTTTGCTTTCGCCTTTCGCCCGCCGCACATACTAGCCTGCCGCAGCAGCCTACCTCACCCCACTCCGAGCGAACTTGTGCAATGGCACCCGTGGCGACGGGGATCCCCCAGGAGCCGAGGAGCAATCCTGATTGCGCGCGGGTGGGCTAGGCTCAAGTCGGGCATGCCCATCTACAGGAGGAATATTCAAGAGTGATAAAACCATAGTCTGGTTGCATTTTATGCTCTTTTGAACATTTTATCTTTTTGGAGCCATTCTTTCTTCCCAAATCCGCCTGTAGGAGGACATGCCCGAGCTACGGCTAGGCTCGCCTTCTCACTCCCTGCCTCTAGCTGATCTGCACCGCCCGGACTCCCAGTTTGACCAGAAACCTCCCCAGGCTCTGGGCCTCGCGGACGGGTCCAAGTGCATGAGGTCGGGGGATCGCGTCGCATCGCCGGTGCATCGTCAGCGTGGCTCGATGTGGAGCCCGAACTTCTCCACGCCGACTGTTCCGATGCGTCGCCGACGTCGCTGGTGCATCGCCGATGCATCGGCGATGTTGCGCGATCTTCATATTCCATCTACTCGGACCCCCTTTGGGTGGCTTCTACAGGCGCGAGCCACCACAACCCGTGTCGCTTCTGCGGTTCACCAGCGAGAACACACCGTTGGCAACACACCGTTGGTAACCACACCAAGCCTCTCTCTTCCTCCTTCGGTTTCGGCGCCTTCCCCGCCCCTCCCTCTTCCTCGGCGCGCGCCCGTGGCACGGGCACATTCCCCACGTGGGGGACCCGGTCGATGGGTCGATGGCGGGGTGTGGGGGCATGGGGGATTGGCATGTCCAAGGGGGGGTGTCTGTATCCCCGCTGGGTTGTCCAAGGGGATGTCTAGGGTAGGTCGTCTTGTCGTCATAGATCAGTATGGGTTGTCCGGGTTGTCCAGTGGGTTGTCTGGGATTTATGATTTTTTGTCCATTGAACATCGTACGTGGGTTGGGGGAGATATTCAAACTTTGGGCGAACACCACCGTAGGCACGGCCAAGACAAATGACCAGCGCCCCATTTTTTCAGGGTGCCCCGCGTTTTGCCTTACTGCGCGCGGGCTGTCGTCCGGGTGTGTCGCCATCATCCCACCGTCAGCGCTGGGGGCCCTGTGCATCGTGGCAGCGCGGCACCCAGCTGCGTGCCGCCCAGGAGAAAGGCAGGGGATGTATGAAGGAGAGGATAGGGACGTGTGGAGGAGGTGGGTGAGGAGGAGGCGACGGAGGAGGAGGAGGAGGAGGAGGAGGAGCAGGAGCAAGGGGGAGGAGGAGGAGGAGGAGGAGGAGGAGCAGGAGGAGGAGGAGGAGCAGGAGGAGGAGGAGGAATAATAATAATAATAATAATATGAAGAAGAATAATGAGAAGAATACTACTACTACTACTACTACTACTACTACTAATAATGATAAGAATATGAAGCAGAATAATACGAATACTTATAATAATAAGAATAATAAGACTACTAATACTATTAAGACTACTAAGAAGAGGACTACTAAGAAGGACTACTGAGAAGACGAATCATAATAATAATACGAATGCGAATAATGATAATACTAATACGAATACGAAGCATACTACTAATAAGAATACTAAGACGAATATTAATAATAATATTAAGAATAATAATAATACGCATACGAATAATACGACGACGGATACGAATAATATTATGAATAAGTCTACTAAGAGTAATAATACTAAAACTATGAATAAGAATAATACGAAGACGAGTACTAATAATACGAAGAATAACACTATTTGAATAATAATGAGAAGAATACCAATCATACTACTACTAATAACACGACTACTAATAATAATACTATTAATAATAGTAAGACTAAGAAGAATACGACTACGACTAGTACTAATACGAATACTACTATCAATAATCAGCCTAATACCAATAATACTACTACTACTACTAAGGGGAATAATGATCTACTACTAAGACGAATAAGAAGAACACTAATAATAATAATACTTTGAAGAAGAAGAGTGAGAATAATACTAAGACGAGTAATTATACTACTAATAATAATAATATTAATAATAACAATTATAACAATACTAATAAGAATAATAATCATAATAAGGATAAGAAGAAGAGGAGGAGGAAGATGAGGAGGAGGAGGAGGAGGAGAGGAGGAGTAGGGGGAGGGGCTCCCCCGTGGAGCGGAGTAAACCCTTGACCCTGCCTCGTTCGACGAGCGCAGACGGCGCTTAGTGAGCGGGGGCCACTTCTCCTATCTTCTCGTGCCCCCCCCCGCAGCGGCGATGTCCGCCTGGGGAAGCGGGGTCGGGCAGCATTGTATTCTGATTTATCGCAAGACGGTGGCGGAGGCAGAGGAATAAGTACAGGAGGGAGAAGTACTGGAGGGAGAAGTAGAGGAGGAGGAGGAGGAGGAGGAAGAGGAGGAGGACCAGTTTAAACCCAAGAGTCATCAACGAAGTTGGAATAAGCCTTCCCTTCAAGCTCCCTCTTCACAGGCCCGTAGAACGGGTCACTTCCACAGAGGGAATTACCTCGTTGGAAGGCATCCGTTTGAAGACCCTGAAGCATGCCAAAACGTTGTTCTCGGGATTCCAATGTCACGGATCAACCTCATTGTTCCTGACTGTCCTGAATCGTGCTAGAAAGCCACATTTTGAACATTGGCCGCCTTCCATCCGTGAAGCTGTTGCCTATTTTCCAGCTTCAGGGTCATACCTGGGGAGGAAGTCTCTGGCAAAACGCCCGGCCCGCCCTAACAACTGGCCTCGGGGTGCGACAGGGAAAAGTTGTTTATAAGAAAAGGAATGGATGAGGCGGAGGAGAAGGAGGAGGACCAGTGTAAACCCAAGAGTCATTAACGATGTTTGAATAAACCCTCCCTCCAAGCTCCCTCTCCACACGCCCGTAGAACGGTTCATTTCCACAGAGGGCAACCGTTTGAATACCCTGCAGCATGCTAAACCATTGTTCCGGGATTCGAACGCCACGGATCAATTTGATTGTTGCGTCTTGACGATCTGAATTCTTCCACAACGCCGCTTCTGGTACGTTGATTTTGGGAACCCGTGAATCTCTTGCACATGTTTAGAACGAGTGTGCGCGGCGCTAAGGCGAGAGACACATTCTCAAAACTTGCCGCCCTCAATCCGTGAAGCTCCTGCACATGTGTAAAACGACTGCGTGCAGCGCTAGGGCGAGAGCCACATGTTGAAAACTGGCCGCCCTCCATTTGTGAAAGTGTTACATATTTTCAGCTTCAGGGTCATACATGGGGAGGAAGCCTTAGGCGAAACGCCCGGCCCGCCCAAAAAAAACTGGCTTCGGGGTGCGACAAGGAGAAGTTATGTATAAGGAAAACGAATGGAGAGAGGAGGAGGACTAGTGTAAACCCAAGGGTCATCAGCGATGCTGGAATACATCCTCCCTCCAAGCTTCCTCTTCGTAGGCCCGTAGAACGGTTCATTTCCACAGAGGGAACTGTCTCGTTGGAAGGCGTCCGTTTGACGACCCTGAAGCATGGCAAAACATTGTTCTCGGGATTCTAAAGCCACGGATCACCTTGATTGTTGCGTCTTGACGATCCCGAATCGTGCCAGAGCGCCATTCCTGGAACTTCAACGCCGCGAAGCAACGTAACTTGTGTACCTTCATTATCGCGAATTGTTCCGAAATGCCGTGTCTGGTACGTTGATCATCCGTGAAACCCTTGCCATCTCTTAGAACGACTGTGTGCGGCGCTAAGGCGAGAGCCACAATTTGAAAAGGAGCCGCCTTCAATCCGTGAAATGCTTGCAAATGTTTAAAACGAGTGTGCGCGGCGCTAGGGCGAGAGTCACAGTTTGAAACCAACTGAAACGAATGTGCGCGGTGCTAAGGCGAGAGCAACATTTTGAAACCCACCCGCCCTCCATTTGTGAAGCTGTTGCTGATTTTTCAGCTTCAGGGTCATATATGGGGAGGACGTCTCAGAAAACTGGCTTCGGGGTGCGACAGGGAAATTGAGGAGGAGGAGGTGGATGAGGAGGAGGAGGAGGAGGAGGAACAGGAAGGAGAAGAGGAGGAAGATGAGGAGGATGATGAGGGGCGAAGTGCGAGGAGCGATGAGCGATGAGCGAGGAACGGTGAACGTGGGGCGAGGAGCGAGGAGAGAGGAGCGAGAAGCGAAGAGCGGAGAACGAAGAGCGAGGACAGCAGGGGGATGAAGAAAGTAGGAAGAGGTGGAGGACAGAGAGCGGAACAGGACAGCAACATCTTACCCTCCCCTCTTTGCCGTCAGCGGCATTCTCATTCTGTGCCCGCCTGCCAGCCGTGTGCCACTCCTCAATCTTCTAGCTCCTCTTCCCTGGGAAGGTGCATGCGTAACGTAAGCTCGATGTCTACGCATCCCGCCCAGGCTTTTGGCCCGTCAGAATTTTGCGCACAGTTGACCCGTCGGCGGTTCGCACCAGTGTTGGTTGCAAAGCCGAGCCAGGCTATGTGGACAAGGAGGTATACCCCATCGCCGGCATCTTCTCCGAGCTGCTCTGGTGCCCTCCTGGCTGGGCTTTTGCTCATCGCATCCCTCTGCTGTGGAGCGTGCGCTGCACTGCGAGACCCGCCCTGGTCAAGCGCCCATGCCCAGCCAGCTGTGTCGAGTAAGGGTGCAACCAAGACGCTGATAAACAACGAACATGCAGGGTTCGGAAGGGGCTCGTCGTTCTTTACGTCCTTTCATGCTTGTTCCTCCAGAACTCCTCGTGCACCCAGGCTCGTTTGGGGCCTCAGTGGGGCTCCGTTCCCTGTTGCTCAGCGTCTTTATGATACGGTCGGGGACTTTGGCTTAGCGTTTCGCAGTCGGTTCTAGCCCACCACGCTTCGGCGAGACACGCTATTAACGTCCCAGTCCCCAAGCATCAGCGTCCCGAGCCTTTCCGAGCCTCCTGACCCGAGGAGCGGAGCGAGACGCTATCAGCTTACCAGGGCGCGAGCAGCGAAGGACAACGGGTTCGTCATTGGCGCGTAAGCTGCCCGCGTAGCGCCCTCGTTTCAAATGTGGCGTGCCGCGCTGGCGGCCCGCAAGCGCCGCCGCGTAAGGTCGCTGTGATTTCTCGCGTAAGACCCGTTCCTTTCCGTCGCCCACGCGATACAGTCGGACCGAGGTATCAGATCGAGGTTCGGGGAGGGTGCCCTGATGTTCTTCGTGTTGGTTGGACGTTCTTGTGCATCCTGGGGAGGACACCCTTGGATGCTCTGAGTGCTTTGGCCGGCGGAGGATCTCATGTTCTTGCAGGATGTTCTTCTGTCCTAGGTCCGGCTGTACACCCTCCTGGCCAAGCCACGAGGCTGTGGCGCATGCACCGCTGCTGGGCTCAGGATGGGCCAGCGCCGCGCCCCTGTGGCGACGGGCCACGGCTGGTCGCCGGGGCCGCCACCGCCGTCCTCGTCGCCGTCATCGTCGTGCACGGCCCGACGGTAGGCAGGTCTCCGCATGTGCAGGCGGCAGGAGCGATAGGGCCGCGGGTCGCCCGGGGCGCTTGCCGCAGGGCGGGCCGCGTCGGCGCGCCGCGGTTCCTTTCGCCGGCGGGTCGCGGGGTGGGCCGCGGGGCGGGCGGCGGGTGCATGCCATCGAAGTGGGTGCGGAAAGAATGGGTGCTCAGGGTTTCGTGATAAAGGGGGGGGGGTTACAGTGGGGGGGGATCTGATTTGAGTGGTCTTGGAGGGCTCCAGTGGGTTCTGGGCACAAGGCCGCCCTTGATGGCTGGTCTGTGGGGGTCTAAAACTGCTTGTCTGGAAGCGTTGTGACCCCCTCCCTTTATTACGAACTCTGGAGTACACAGACCAGCAGCATTTCCTGTTCCTTCTGAGCAGGATTCGCTATCGGTGCCGCCGCGGACGTTGTCCATTTGAGACACACGCTCGGCTGCCAAACAGCGGCCGCTGTCGGTTTGTGCAACACTTGTTGTTGGGCATCGTGCCCATTCTTTCCGTACTTATTTCGGGCGTCCAGAAAGGGGCTCGGGGGCAACGTTCAGAATGATTTGCAGGAGCGCGCGGTAAATGGCCGCTGTTCCATCAGGCTGTCTGCGAGGGCTCGGTCGCTTCCGGACTGCTTTTTGCCGTCCGGCGGCCGCCTCGGCGTGAGCCCCGCTCTTCCTCAGCTGTGGATTTCGCCCTCCTCCTCCTCTCAGGCAGAGCGTCAGGGGGGTGGGCAGGCTCAGGGTGGGACGCATCGACCCCCAATCGCCCACTCATCGCCGCAAGGGGTCTGGTAGCCCCCCCGCCCAGGAGCGTACGGACTCGCCTCCGAGAGCCTATCGCCATCCATTGGCGAGATATCGCCGATTCCAGGTCGATCCTTTGCCTCTGAGCTATTCCACCCTTGCCGTTCCCCCTCCTCTTTTGCTCACCCCTGGAACATCCGACGACCTGTTTTTTGGGGGGTTCGGGGTTGAAACGGCCCCCCTCTGCACAATGACACATTCTCAAACATGGTTATGGCGATTTTTTCTGAGACGACCTTGCACCTCGCTCGCACTCGGCATCCACACTTTGAGCCCGCGCATCGTCGCAAACGTCTGCAGCGCGGAGCGACAGCTTTAATGAATTCATATTCTGTGCTGAGAGTACAGCTCGGGCGCAATCCTCATACCGATGCAGCTCTTATAAATTCGTGCTCGAGCTACAATGCCGACATATTCCGACCACACCTACGGTCACAATCGAATCGCACAGTGGCCACAACTGTAAGCAATTCCGACTTGAGCTTCAACTCAAACGCATTCCTCCTACGGTTGAAGTGCGACTATAATCGCTTCAACAGTTGAACAAATGGTTAGGGCCCTTTTCTAACGTAAATGGCCAGAAGTCTACGGGTCTACGGACACCTCTGTTAGGTCGACAGCTCCACCTAGAATATTTCAGAGCTGCTGCCCCAGTCTATCCACCAGAGATCTCACACTGTGATCTCATCCAGCCTGGGCCACGGCTTTGCTAGAGCACGAACTTCACGTTGAATGTCATCCTGGTCGAGCTTGCTGTTGTGCGGCCGCAATGTACTTCAGCCACGTACCCAATAGAGTCCGAATGTATACAGACGTCTGACATCATATCACTACATCTGCACACCTCGTGCAATCCTACTTCCTGCTAGGCTACAGCTATGATGTCACACTACTGTCGAAGCAGCTCAAACAGACGCGTACCCGAGCTACAGCTATGGCATACGTCGATCCAACCATAACTACGGCTACAACACATTGGCACGACGTTTGCAATTGTAAGCAACTCCTCACTGGAGCTTCATTTCAAATGCATTCTTAATACGGCTACAACTTTCCCAGTACCCTCTAGCAGCTGAGAAGATACTTACCCCCCATTCGAATGCACATAAGTCGCCACAGCTCTAATGTCACCCACCTGCGATCGGCAGCTCCGGCTAGAATCATCCCAGGGCTACGGTCCCGCTATAGTCGTAATAAAATTAACAGGTGCGATCTTCATGGATGACCAGGGTCTACTGTCATGGTGGAAACCTACGAGGGCGTGACCTTGAACGTGTCCGTGCTAGAACAAAGTATGGCAGTGATCGCATGATCGACAGCTTCAGCTCGGCTCGAACCCTTCTTACGAAAAGCGGAATTGCGCCGCGCGCGCATGTCGAAATCCTTTCAAAACCTTCATCGCCGACGCGTGGGCGCCGTCATCGGCATCGGCGTGATCGGCATCGGCGCCGTCATTGGCATTGCCATCGTCACTATCATCATCGTCACCAGCGTTGCTATCATCATCATCATCATCATCATCATCATCATCATCATCATCATCATCATCATCATCATCATCATCATCATCATCATCATCATGTCCGCCGTTGTCGAGGTCGCCATGGTGCCTCGTTCGCCCAGGTCATCGACTCGCACTTAAGTGCGCGGTTGCCAGCGCGTCCTGCGAGATGCGCTGGGAGATCTCAAGCAGTCAGCGCCTCTGCGGCCGCGTCGGTCGCGACAGACTTGCTGGTCGCTCTGCGCGCGAGCCTGCGCGCGCTAGCTCGGCCGCAGCGATGCGTCAGCCAGCACCAAGCTGCAAACCAGGATGCGGGTGGGCGGGTGGGTGGCTGGGATGATTGAGCGAGCATTGGAATTTACAACCCACTGCGGACAACAATTCGTTGCACCACGCAGATTGCACCAGGCATTAGGCTAGAACGCACTGATTGTGGTACACGCCGTCAACATGTTTAAGACAATAACTATGCAGCAATGCCGGCATCCTACCGCCGGCTGATGCCACAAGTCGGATTCGTGAGGGGGATCAGGACGAGTGAGGAGAGCGAGGACGGATAATGAGTAGATCGGATGAATAAATAACATGCTTAGGATAAGGGTGAAAATGAACAGGATGATGGTCCTGGGGAGGGGGTGTACTGGGAGAGAGGGGCGGGGGAGTCCAGCGATGAGGGGAGAGAAACAACAGCGATAGCCCCCGCCCCAAATACCAGCAAACAGCAAACACAATACAACCAATGCGAAAGAAGGGTCCGCCTTCAGTCTGGGTTATCATGAAAACATCAGATTATTTTGAGAAGAGGAGAGCGGATAGAAGAAAAAGAGATAACACCTATAGACATATATGGGAGAGAGGAGGGAGGAGAAGGAGGACGGAAGCGAAGTGTAATGGAGTTGGATCGAAGGGTCTACTCCAGCTGTCATTTCGCAGGGGCTTCCTTTTCACCCCAAAACCGATTCTTCCAATGCGCGGCCCTGGAGATCCGTCCCACGCCTCCGCCCAAATTGTTTCATTCAATCGCTTCGCTCATTCCGCCGGTCCGTTTCGCATCACTGTGGCTGCGTGGTGGTGTGCTCGTGCCCAGGGGGAAACGATAGGGTAGGCAGGACGGTTTCCGAGGAGTTTTTTGGAGATATGGCTCGCACCCTGTCGAAGAGAGCCGATAGACTGCCCCAGAGAGCGCCAAGATGGCTCAATAGAGCTCCAGCAGAGTTTCGAGACGTACATGGGTTGTGGGTCAAAATCCTCATGGATGTCTCTTGGGGTCTTTTCGGAGAGAGCCTCTTGGAGCAGTTTTGAGGCCTCTGGCGAGCCTCTTGGGGGCTTCTTGGGGGCCTCTTGGGGTTTCCTGGGGGCCTGTTGGGAGTCTCGGGGGCCTCTTTCAGGGCCTCTTGGGGCCTCGTGTTGCTTCTTGGGGGGCTTTTGGGGGGTTCTTGGGGGCCTCTGGAGGCGTCCTGGGCGCCTCTTGGGGCCCAGAGCTGGAAATGTCCGTTCGGGTCCCTCGTCGGGGCCCACTCTTGGAGCCGTCTTGGGAGCCTCTTCGGCCATTTTGGAGGCCTCTGGGGCTGTCTTGGGGCCCTCTGGGGCCGTTTGGGGCGCTCTTGGAGGCCTCTTGGGGCGATCCTGGAAGCTTCTTGCGCCGTCGGACAGCCCCGGTAAGCCGAAAAGGCGAGAACGCCAAAAACCTTCAAAACTGAAGGGAACTCACAAGTGTTTGCCTCTGTGGGCCCTCTTGGGAGGTCTCTTGGAGCCCTCTTGGGGC